ACACCATATTCTTTTTTATTTATGTTACAAAAATATCACTAAAATGCAATCGAATGCGGCCCTATTGTACCTCTATTTAGGTTACCACTCGAAGTAATTCATTAAAATTTCCATACACGTGTCATCTATTATCACTCTATATTTCACAATCTCTTGTCATTTCTCGTTATTGTACGGAACAAATTTAATTCTTTCCCACAGTGTTATTAGAGATCGGCTATTCTTGATTGTTCTCCTAACGAAACTTTCTCCAATGCTATAGTTGATAAATTTGATTTTCAAAAATATATTAACATATAGAATCAGGAAATTATTAGGCCATTAACACATCACAGAATTAATACTGCTATTTTATATAGAGGAAAACTGGCAGAGTGAACTTATAATCAATCATGTTCCTGTCAACCGATTTCCCTTCGACATTTCCCTGCTCTGCTTTACTGATTTTATTTTAGTTCAATAACGTTCTAATCACAGTTCTTCTTATTTTTTCGATATGTTAGTCCAACTGATATTTTTCTTTGGGCATTTTCCTCTCGATTTCAGCTGAAAGCAATTTATGCAGCTTTTGTTAACATTTGATTTGTGACTGGCGTTGATTTCGACAAACAAACCCACAACTCCCTTCTTATTCTTCTTGGTCTGTTGAAGCCTCCGTAATTGCCTCTGTCGTATAATCAAATCACATGAATGCTAAAATTTTGTTATGATTCCAAAGAATTTTGGCGGTCTAGTTCTTTATATTATCTGCTAAGACTGGTCCTTAAAAGTTTCACTTTTTAAAGCAATTCTCAAAAACAAAGCAGAAAAAATCCACACAGCATCAGAACATAGATAGACCATTAGTTTAGCTTAACAAATTTGTGACACAGAGTGTAACATGGCATTTCGGTGGTAACGCGGAACCTAGGCCCTTCAATAAACTGTAAACTGATAATGAACAGACGAACGATACGAACAATTATAACGTACAAATTGCTGTGACTTTGGGAAACTATTTCTGGGAGCTTTCTAATCAATAGTTTAAACAAATAAAAACATTATTACCTTCAGCGACTAATGAAAACACCCAAATGTGGCCAATGACAAAGAGCATCGAATCTTTGTTGCACTGGGGCACACACACACACAGACACAGTACCCATATGAATAATGATTGTGGGAAATTTTCCAGAGGGCTTCAGACAACAATAATATTTACCATTTAGCCCAATTCCACATTCTCGACCTGACGGCTGGCTGGCTGTGTTGTCGTATCTCAGGCGATAAACTTTTTCTTGGAGTGATGGTTGTTGTTTGCCAACACCGATGATGATGATGATGATTTTGTTGCTGGTATTATTGTTGTCATTGTTGTAACGATTGGTGCAGCAGTTAGTGTTGTTTTTGTTTTTGCTTTTGTTAGCTTTGTTTTCCTTCAGGTATTTTGTTGTTAACTAAAACATAACACAATAATATTATTTCAATAACAACAAAGGCAAACAAACAGCCGACTATCATGAGAACTTTTTTTCGAAATACTTCACAGAATTGAAATCAAATGAAACCTAACAAAAACAAATACTAATTGTCTGTATGTCTGTCTGTCTGCTCAACTCTATATCTAACTATGTATCGTTTATGGGGCATGTTAGTACATTTTAAGTGGAAATTATACCATTTACGGATAAAAATATAAGTAGAATTAATGCTTGATTTTTCATACTGGATACAAGAATTGTGTTCGGGGTGTAGCTCTATAGAAAATAATAATAATTGAATAGTTCGGTTTGCCTAACAATTCCACATAGCTTGTTTATATCTTTCACCAGGTTGTTGTACATCGTATCAATGCTTTGTACATATGCTTGTGATAGGCCCATGGTTCCTGTTGAGAATATACATAGAATCACATTCTGAGGCGATTTATGTATGTCTCTCATATATATATCTCTCATATATATTTTCGTCCGATTTCATGTAAGTGGTGCACCTAACTCACAATGTTTGTCAGATTGAGACAAAATTTAGCATAGCGTACCAAATTGAGTCCAGAATAGAATGTGTTAAGTGTTCGTGAAAATCGTTTCAGATTTAGATGAAACTGTCAAAATATCTAAAAGTGGGGCTACAGTGGGGCAAAATACAGCCAATTCGGTTGGAAAACATGTCCAAAATTCACAAAATATTGGGGGTACTGCTGTGTGGAGATTCCCTGAAACTTGGGTCAGTATTAATAATTTTGGGTACGGACATGTGCAATACACTGAGAAGCCAAAATAATTAATAATAGTCAATTCAGTTGGAAAACGTGTCCAAAATCCCCAAAATACTGAATTTTGGGGGATATAATTATATTGTGGCTGTACAACGTGGTAGTGTCGACATACGAATAACATTAAAGCTGTTTGTAATAACAATTGTTTCATCTAACATCCATTACTTATTTATTAGAAATAAATCCAAATTAAAGTTTTTGTACCCAGTCATGCCTATCTATTCCTATCTATTTCACCTATCGTATTTCACAATGTTAATGTAGTCGTTTGAAAGATTTATCGAATCTTCCAGGTTGCAGTTAAATTTAAAATGTAAGAAGAACAATGAATTTATACTGCAGAAGGGAATTTTGATTTAATAATCCATTATAATTGCCTAACATGATAGACGCGACGTCATATCCCTGACCTCTCAAAACTGTTGGATCCAAACCCAACCTGATTATTGTTTTTATTATGACGGTCGAGAATTATTTTCCTGTTAATCCTTCTACTTCCACGGAAAAAGGAAAACATTCTTTGTCTTGTCCAAAAATATTCTATATATTGATAGCTGCTATATAGATTTCACTCCGAGAATTAATTTAATAGTGATCTTCGCAGGCAGAAAAATCAATTTGAGTTGAACCAAATATACTGTTCGAACAAATGCCGTCTTTGAAGGTAGTTGCAGCTTTGACATTTAACATCCTTATCAGAAAGTTCACAGTAATTAATTTTTGGAGGTTTTACGCAATAGAAGGCATGGCAATTGCCATTTGTTGATAATACTTTATTGAAGTACGTCCCTATACCAAACATCTCAGCAAACGGAAGGTTAAATTTAATATACACTTCACCTTATAAGCAACTCTCCTGCTACTCTTTACGATTTTATTTTGAATTTCTTCCCCATTGTCACCCTTCAAACCTCTCTCTCCTAAGAACCCGGCAGAGTTGCTTACAAATGATGCATGTTTATACCGCGAGTATGTATTCAAAAATATGTAGATATTTTAGGGTTTCGATTCAACCATGCGAGAATTGTTAAATTTCGTAAAAATCGCAAGGATTTTCGATTTTCGAATAGAATTTTTGAAAGTATTCAGAGTATTTTCCGAATTTTGGTTCTGAAGAAGTGTCCGAAAATATACCTTTTTCTGCCCGAAATTGTGCCGAAAATGGAACATTGCTATTTTTTATAAATGAATTCGTAAAGAAACTTTCCGATTTTCCATCTTCACACAATTTTGTTCCGATCGGCATTAGAATCGGAAATTTGTGCAGAGTTTCTTTCCAAATTCGAAAAATAACAAATAGTTAAAATCATTAAATATTTTAAATATTTAATTGTTGCACTCCATGTATTAGGCCACATTGATAAGATATCAGCTCCTAAAGCTTTAAATATTAATTTATTAGTGCAAATTAAATTAAAGGACTGTAGGCAATTTAAAGTATTCCAACAAAATTTCATATTGCTTTCTACTTTTCTTGATTATTGGAAGTGCATTCATACATTTATTTATGTGTTATATGTACATCATCTATACAGTTGCTGTCATTGTGTTACAATAAAAACAGTTGTTTTTTCTTTTATTGGCTCTAATGAACTTTTCTTGGCTGGTATTTGTGTCACTCTTAATGAAAGCAAATATCATTGTCGGCGTTTTTGCCACCATCATTTGGAATAAGCTCCAAGGTATCTACATATGTTGCTCTATGCAGTAGCCTCCAGTAAAAAAAATGATGGCGTTCATTTGATCTATTATAGGTGCCTTTGAATTTCAAAGTAATTCCCCCAAAGCCATGAACGATAAGCGGTATTCAAAGTGGCAATTGTTCTTGAAAAAAAAAACTGTACTTATATTTTCAAATTTCCCGTGAAGATATTATTTGTTTTTTTTTTTTTTTTGTTATTTTGTGTTTGTTGTTCTGTTGCATTTGGTTTGTATTTACTAAGAAAAAAGTGTTGTAATGGTATTTAAGAAAATAATGTTAATTAATTGTATCTGTATTGATATTGATTACAAATGGAACTCTATATTCAAGAAATAACCTTTAAATTATATTTAACTATTTTGTAAGAGTATCATAAGGTTGCGTGCCCTTCCCTTTTGGGTAGCTCAAACTATAGTTTTTTTATACCCTCCACCATAGCATGCAGGGTATATTAATTTTGTTTTTCCGTTTGTAACGCATCGAAATAATCATTTCCGACCCTATAAAGTATATATTCTTGATCAGCATAAAATTCTATGACGATCTAAGCATGTCCGTCTATATGTTGTAATTACTCTAGCGTCTTGCGAATTGCATTGCTAAAGTTCTTTACTGATAAAAAAATGGTATTTAGGGAGGATAGTGAAAATCGACTAATTTTTGCAAATAGAGAGCAGGCATCAAACCGGTGCATATCAGAAGCATGTTAAATAAAGTCCTATAGTTCATATAAAAATAATGGATTTATTTTTCCCCAACCTTATATTAAGACAGGAATTTGGTTTCACCAGACGGTACTCTGATGATCCATATTATGATGCAAAATATGCAGATTCTGTTTTAATCTGTTTATAGAAAATCATACAAAATATTGTCAATAAAATGTTATAAAATTCATTAAGTATTCTTTGGATTTTATTTCTAATGTGATTTAATTTATTTCGAAACTATTTTAAATATTTATCCTTGTTTGATGTAACAAATTTGAAGTGTTATAGTATAAATTATCGCAAATAGAATAAATTATCGCCGTGATAGAAAATGAATGTTATTCAGTGTCAACCACCGAAAAGTCCATATCACAAACGTGATTTCAGCGTGTGTCGTGAACCAAATGATTTTGATCCACTTTTTCAAGAGAATATCAACGATATTGCTGATACCATGAGTGAGGTATGTAATTTGTGGGTGCACCTAATTGTATCGCTTAACATCATTTCCCATTTACATACATATACACACAGATTATGATTGTATGCGGAATCCATCGCTGTAAGGCCAAACTGACCAAAGGAATTGTGATAAAAGCTTTTGAGTTTTATGACAATAAACGACATCGATTCGAAAACTCTGACAATGAAAATAGTATTTATCGCGAACACATTGTGAGAGATTTCGAATGCGAATGTCAAATGACCAGAGTTGAGGCTCTCCTGGCCTATTGTATTGTCAAGAGAGCCATCAAAGCATTTTATCATGGAACTCCAGAACGTAGCATACGTAATCCAATTCGAGAAGCTGTAATCTTAAAGGAGCAAGAATTCATATGGTTGCATGCCGCTCGTCGTACCATTTTGCTTTTTGAGCGTTATTCTCATTTATTTTTCAATGCTCAAAGAAATTATCCGGCACAAATACTAAAAATCTATAAAGGACTACATGCCCGCCTAAGTGAACGTGCAGATCCTGTCGTAGTTGAAGATTACCACCCCAGAGGATGTGTGAGGAAAATTATACAAGGAACGAAATCTCCACCCACGACAAATGAAGAAACACCAAAATGTGTGGAAAGATGCCGAAAGTCTAGCAACCTTAAGGAATATATTGAAAATTTACCCCCAAAGTCGTGGCCAATTAAAAGTCCACTTACCCTGCGTAATTCTGGTCCTTTGGTTTGTCATAATCAACGAATAATGGACATCCAATCGGAAGATTTTACTCGTCCAAAGAAGAGGAGAGAAATCCGAAATAAAGACCTCAATGTGGAGCGCTGTGCCCAATGCAATTGTCCCCAACTTATGTGTGATTGTGATATTGATCGTGACACCGGTGTTGTGGCCATTGATTGCGGTCAGGGTCCGTTTGAGTGTCAGTGGGTGAGGATGGACAGGGAAGATAAACCGGATCCATGTATTGAAAATCCCGAATATCATCAATGTCCAGTAGATTGTGAGCAAAATAAGACTTCCACTGATGAGTCTGATACCTCAGAGTATTGCGAATGTTCGGCTGAAAGTGAAAAGGATACTGATGCTGGTCGTAATAATGACGCCAACCTGACTCAGGAGGAATTTGAACCATCCGATAATGAGGGTTATTTTACACAAATAATGTCGAAAAATATATCCAAGAACAAGAACGCAACTGTGTGTCAGCGGTGATTAGTAGAATTCATTCAAGAGATGTGGCAAGCAATATCTACGGTCATACTGAAATTAAAATGAAAATAAAAGTTTGATTGAAAATTAATTAAACACTTTCGGGATTTGGGAAATGTGAATTTTATCTTCCAATCATAATGTATTTTCCAATTCTCGATATGATTAATTGGTGTGAACATTTAGATTCAATATATTCAAAAATTTAAAATCCATTGTATGAATAGTATTGAAATTTTAAATTATTATATTTTTAAATAAAATGAAGTAAAAATCATTTATATAAACTTATAGAAAACATACCTTGATTTGGCCCGAATTTCAATTGAAATTTTGTACTGGTGAATTATTATCACAAATTGATATTAAAATTGTAAAATCATATGCGTATGTAGGAATACGATATATTAACATAGGGAATTAAAGGGAGGAACATCAGAGTTTGGACAAAAGGAGCGCTATTTTTGCGAGGAGGGTTTGGACTAATTTTGGGCTTTTGACTGTAGTCAATGCAGACAATTTGAACAAAATATTTTCACATCAAGATATTTCCACTTTCGTGAATTTCAGCTGATTATTCGGGAAAATGTCTTTCCAGAATCTTAAACTGTGCAGTTTTCCAATGGAGGAAGGTCAATTATGTTCGGTATGGCCGAACTTTTTTGTGTAGTTCGTCGAAATAGCCATTCCACACCTAAAAGCATATATCGTCATCAAAAATGTAAACGGACGTAACTATAGAAAAATTTGAAATTGACATTTTCTTTGATTATTGTTCGTTTAATTAAACTACATGTTCTCACAAAAATTCAGAAAAATTTAGAACATCCTCGTACCAAAAATTATGCGGCATCTTTGTATGGACGCGGTGTATATATCATGAATCAATATTGAAAACTTTGTTGAATTAAGTTTTTTATCGTGGAAAAAGGAAAATTACAGGCACTTAAGAGTACCAAAAATGATCACGTCCTTCTTTATATCGTTATCATAAATGCAAACGGACGTAACTACAGACAAATTCGAAATTTACTTTTAGATTAAGTTAATCAAACTACATGTTCACACAAAAATTTAGAAATCTAAAGTCAAAACCAGTAAGGAAAGTAGTAATGTCGGACGGGGCCGACTATATGATACCCTTCACCACTTTGGCATATTCAACAGATGAATCCTAACAGACGTCGAATTTTTGAAGGACCATTAACATGAAAATGGATCCATAAACATGTCATTCTGCCACCTATACTAAATTTTTCATTTGGTCAGATATAGGGTTGCTTCTTATGTTGTAGTAACTTCAGTACGTAGAGCAACATTTTGTGCCGATTGGACCCACCTTGTTGAAGCATTTATATCCTACCTCTAGGTTCTAATTACTTCAGTACGTTGTGCAAAATTTGTGTCAATTTGGCGTTAAATTAGACGAAAATATCTATGTAGAAGCTATATCAAAATCTGAACCGATTTCAATGAGACTTGGCAGAGATTAACTACAGTTCATTGTACAAAATTGTGTGGCAATCGGACACACAAGTGCACAATTTACATAAAATCGGAAGACACCGATTTTTAGGAAACTTAACACACATCATTCTAAACCTAATTCATTATGCTATGCCAAATTTCGTGCAAATCAAAAGATATATAGGGACTTTGGTGCACCATTTACATAAAATCGGAAGAAAATATATATAGGGGCTAAATCTAAATCTGAACCGATTTTCAGGAAACTTAACACACATCATTCTAGACCTAATTCATTACGCTGTGCCAAATTTCGTGCAAAAAGAAAGATATATAGGGACTTTGGCGCACCATTTACATTAAATCGGACGAAAATATATATGGGAGCTATATCTAAATCTGAACCGATTTCCAGGAAACTTAACACACGTCGTTCTATACCTATTTCATTACGCTGTGCCAAATTTCGTACAAATAGAAAGATATATAGGGACTTTGGTGCACCATTTACATAAAATCGGAAGAAAATATATATGGGAGCTATATCTACATCGGAACTGATTTTTCCCAATTTCAATAGGGTTCATCCTTGGGCCAAATAAGTGACCTATGTCAAATTTCATCCAATTCGGATCATAAATGCGACCTGTACTTTGTTTACAGTCTAACATGGACAGACGGACGGACGGACGTGTATAAATCGACTCAAAACCAGTAAGGAAAGTAGTAAAGTCGGACGGGGCCGACTATATGATACCCTTCACCACTATGGATATATTAAACAGGACTATTAACATGAAATTGGATGAAATAAAATATGTGATATTTATCTAAATGTGAATCTACCTATATATCCATAAGTTATATAAATCGATTTCAATCAAATATAAATAGGTTATCTGTTGGGCTATGTCTGTACTTCTAGAAAACGCAACTACGTAATTCTATGCTCAATTTTGTACGTTGTGCAAAATTTGATGTCAACCTGACTAGCATGAAGAGTTTGATGTCCAATTTACTTAAAATCGGGCGAAAATATATATGGAAGCTCTATCCAAATATATCGAAGGGTATATAGGGACTTAGGTGCACCATTTACATGAAATCGGACGAAACTATATCTGAATCTGGGCCGATTTTCTCGAAACTGGGAAGACATCATTCTAGGCTCAATTCAGTACGTTATGCCAAATTTCCTGCAAATCGAAAGATATATAGGGACTTTGGTACGCCATTTACCAAAAATCGGCCGAAACTATATATGGGAGCTATATCTAAATCTGAACCGATTTTCACGAAACTTGGCACACATCTTTCGTGGCTCAATTCAGTACGCTATGCCAAATTTCGTGCAAATCGAAAGATTTTCAGGGTCTAAAGTCCGTAAATCGGGCGAAACTATATAAAGGAGCTATATATAAATCTGAACCGATTTTCACGAAACTTGGCACACATCTTTCGTGGCTCAATTCAGTACGCTATGCCAAATTTCGTGCAAATCGAAAGATTTTCAGGGTCTAAAGTCCGTAAATCGGGCAAAAATATATATGGGAGCTATATCTAAATCTGAACCGATTTTTCCCAATTTCAATAGGGTTCGTCCTTGGGCCAAACAAATGAGCTGTGCCAAATTTCATCCAAATCGGATCATAAATGCGACCTGTACTTTGTTTACAATTTAACATGGACAGACGGACAGACGGACGGACATGCATAAATCGATTCAGAAAGTGATTCTATGCATATTCTCAAAAGGAACCATGGGTCTATCTCGATTATTTTTGCCTGTTACAAACATATGCACAAAGACATAATACCCTGTACCACAGTGTGGTGAAGGGTATAAACATAAAAATGTTTAATATTGACGACGTTTAAGGGTAGCCCTATATAACGATACCCCCAGTATGGGGATTTTTTACACGTTTTTCAATAAAGTTATCTGTAATTTGGTATTTTGGGTTTTCATAACGGTACCACCATGTCTCCGCACTGAAAATTATTAATATTGACCCAAGTCGTTATTTTGAGAATTTTTGACACACACAATGTGATATTTTGTATTCTCATTGTCTGTCAAATCTCACTACCAAAAAATATCAATATTGATCTCCGTTTTATTATAGACCCATATAACGGTAGCCCCACTATTAGATATTGTAAAAATTCAATAATCTTTTTCAATATTTTCAAGGTCCTGTCATATTTGGGAACCCCCTTGAATTTTAAATATGTTAATTGTTATCCTCATGGTGGAGTGTATAAGAAGTTCGGTCGATTCGAACTTAACATCGTTTATACTTGTTTTTAGTTCGGGTTGCTTCTCTTTCATCCTTTAAATTGCCAATATCGGCCCATGGTCAGATAGTATTTCGGCAAATTTGTCTAATTGTGAAAAAAATAATTAAGTAAAAAAATAATTAAGTAAGTTTTATTGTTAAAAATTATAATTTTTTTATTTTGTCAAAACTTGTTAATTTCAGTGACAGTGACCTTACTTGAGTCCATATTTAATAGACTTACCCAGCTCTTTTATTTGTAGTCTCTGTTTTACACAAACCACTAATATTTAGATTTATTCTGAAATTCAATTAAAATTCTCTTCTTTCTTCAACTCGACGAAATATTTAGTCGAATCGACCCATCTACATATTCAAATACAATTAATTTAGATTATAAACGAAATAATAGTTTTTCTCACCTGAGAAACTGAAACTATTTTGGTCGACATTTCGTCAGTTCATTTATAGACAGACACAATTTCAATAAAAGACAGTCGGACTTCTTTTTTCTAATCATGAACATATTGCTTTGCACGATATCTCACATTCAGCCATTCCAATGGAAGGGTAATTTTTAAATATTCACACCTTAAGAAGGCAGCATCATCAACAGATGCCAGCCACCGCCATGTAAGAATTTCTAAACAAACAAATTAAATGAACTCCAAAATGCTGTTAATATCATGTAAATATTGACGGCTGATGCGACTGGTGTGTGCGAAGTGGTGATGCTGCTGCTGTTGCATTTGTTGCTGCCACAACAGGTGAGAAAATAGTTAACATATTATTGATTATTGCAGCAGTAGCGGTCGCGGTCGCAACTTGATAGACATCACAGCTTTAATGCAAACAAGCAACAGGCATTAGTATCACCTCCACACATCGATTCCAGTCGGTGTTCAAACAACAAATAAACAAACGATCGACTGGGCGAACAAACAGGCCGGTCCAAAGACGAACAAACAGAGATGCCTTGTCGATGATGATACATCGGATACTTTGCCTACTTGAGTGGGGGAAGTTGATAGAGGGGCAAGAGATTGGGGATGTGGATTGTGTACAACTTTCATTCGGTAGCTGTCAATACATGCATCATCTGACACTTCCCTGATTCCCTGGGTTACCATCAACATCGATAGCCGACCGCATCAGGGATCATTTTTGTGTACTTGTAAACATTTCAAATAAAGTGTTAAAACCATTCGTCCATCCAACCCAACAAGTGCACATTAGCCAAACACAAAAACAACAACA